CAAATTTTTCGCAACTCGAGATCAGCACATTTGAATGTCTTGGCATTGTCAGAATATATCGTTGAGCACAATCCACGACGAGAAATAAACCTGCGAAACGCAAGCATGAAATTCTCCACGCTCATAGAAGGGACAAGTTCTAGATGTAAAGCTCGAGTTGTAGCACATGTAAACAAAAGCAGATAATGTTTATTCTTGCTGTCCTTTGTAAAAAAGGGACCAGCATAATCCAGCCCTGTTACAGAAAATGGAGATGATTGAACACGATCGGGTGGTAAAGGAGCGGTTTCCTGTGTACCGGCACGCACCTTCTATCGTTTACACAAAAAGCACTTACTTAACGTGGACTTGACGAATTGGCGTCCTTTTATGATCCAGAACTTTTCTCTAATATCGGCCAAGGTAGCTTCGACTCCAGCATGAAACAATTTGTTATGAGACTGAAAAATTACTAGTTCACTGTATCTATCTTTATAAGGTAATAGCGATGGGTGTTTTTCTTCGAAAGCAAAGTCTGAGAATTGAAGTTGCCCTTTAAACGCAGAAAGAAAGAAGACCATGGGTATCCAATTCTGGGTTAAGTAAAAATCGACGATGTCTTTTCTAAGCATTTTTCACTTGATAGATCTAGAATCTCTTTCGCAAAGTATTTTCGCTGTGCAAACTTTTACCCAATAGAGCTCAGCTCGCGAAATTTCAACAGAGCTTAATGGACCTTTGACTTTCAACTGAATTTCGTTTATATTGTTGGCAAACCGCACATAACATAAGCCGTAATTCGATAACACCTTCAGTAGCCTGCTGAATCGCGTTAACTGTAGTAATGCCGAAGATTCTACGTCTTGAACAGAAAACATGAAGAGATGTTTGCACCTTTGCTTCGTTCTGAACGCTCTCCTTGTCGATGTTGGTCTGTTGATTTACTGGCCAAACACTTTCAGGTTGAGACAGCCAGCTAGGTCCCTGTAACCAAAGGGTACTTCTCACAAGATTAAAGGCATTTTCTCCCTCGAGATAAAGGTCAGCAGGGTTTTCACTCCCACTGCAGTGAAACCAGCATTCAGGATTCGTGAGTGACGTGAATATCAGAAAATCCTGTTTGATACAAAGGGTTTCCAGTTTTCTTGCGCATCCCCTTTATCCAGTAGATAGTTATTTGGCTATCATTCTCCAAAGAAACTTTTGATGACACAGTTCAGGAAACAGCTTTGTCAAATACATAGACAATTTGGCGGCTACTAAAGCAGCCATCAACTCCAAACGAGGTAGAGTCATGACTAGGTAGAGTCATAGTCTTGAGTTGGAGCTACGCGACCCTTTTCGCTGGTAATGAAACTGGTGGAAATTATATGTTTTTGAATCAGGGTATCTAAAGTATGCTACTGCGCCGTACGCTTTAGGGCTAGCGTCAGAAAAATACATGAAGACTAACATTAGATTTTTCACTACTACCAAAATATTTTCTCGGAAGAGAAAAATCCTCCACACCTTTAATTCAGCTTGCCAGCGACTCCAGTCCTTAATTATTTCTAATGGAAGGGTATCATTCCCAGTCCACACCTAATGTCCAAATTTTTGTAACAGAATTTTCATTTTCATCACAAAGGGTTGAAACCACACCAATTGGATCGTAAACTTTGGCCACCCTTTGGAGAGAATAGTCCTTTTTGTGGCCCTCAGCACTGTCATGGGATAAATTTCCTAAAAATTCGCAATTCAAACTTGATCTTATCTGCTTCAGAGTTCCAGATCAATGCCCAAAAATTTGACTCTTTAGCTGGTTCTATGTTATAACCTTTTCCAATCCACCAGGAATTAAGTTCCTCGGAATTTGACCTTAATTTTCTTCAAATTCATCTCAGCGTCTTTAAAAATCTTAACCGCGTCTGAGGATAATCGACATGCATTCTTCAATAGTGTCTGCACCGTAGTATAAATCGTCTACATATAACAAGGAATCTAACATATCATAACTTTCTGGATTTGTGCTTTTATATTTTTTAATGTGGAATTTTATAGTCATCGCTAAAATTGCTGGACTACAGCAAAGTTCCGAATGGAAGACGTTTAAACCTTAAAACTTTTATATTTTTCCTCACTATTCCCGAACCAAAGAAATTTTAAATATTCCCTATCCTTTTTCTAAGATTCCTATCATTAAAAAGGCCTTAGCTAAATCCTCCGCTGAAAGCAATTTCATATTTCCGAAATTTTAAAATTATGTTTCCAATGTCTACGGGGATCAAACTTAGGTCCAATGTCTAAGGATCATCTTAAGGACTTTACACCTTTAGCTCTAGAAGAGCTCGCGTCGTAAACAATCCTACACCTTGTGGTTTCCTTAGGTTTTTATTATTTCCCTGTGCGGCATAAAATACGATGCCTCCGTTATTTCCTGTGAACACTTCTCAACTATACCCTCCTTCATTTGCTCTTCAATTACGGATTTATACTGCTGATAAATCTCAGGATTTCTAATAAGTCTATTTTTAAGACTTTCAAATCGTCTTAATGCTACTCCGAAATTATTTTCTAATTGCCCTGCTTCCGATTTCCATAATAAACTGACATAGTATCTATTACCTTCTACCCCGTATTTCCTTTTCAAAGCTCTGAATTTCCCTCATCGTTAGAAATCGCTGAGTCATCGGTAAGGCCCATCAAATCTAAAGTCCACAACGATCTCAATGAATCAGTTACGCAAAGAAGAAAGGTTTACTATGCCTGCCGTGTTTTGAGATACTTATTTCGCTCTCTTTATCTTGAAGGACCAACTGGGACCCATCCAAAACATAGTAGAAATCGCATAAATTTCCTTTCCTAATTGAATCTTTTTTCCCCCCTTACCATCTTCCAGTAATAATCCACACCTATTAGAATTCCAACGCTTTTCTTTTACATAAACAAGCGATTCGCAATCCGCACTCATACATCATTTTTAGTGTTTGTTTTGACGGCGTGGTCATATGCGCAGCTGTAATGGCGTCAGTGACGAGACAGCTGATTTTTATTTTGTTCTTTTGCTTCGCATCTGAAACACAGAATTCCACAACCTTATATGTTTTAGGTACTGCGTATTTCATTCCGAAAGAATAAATAGACAATGTTTCTTCTCCAACAAATTTTAAGTTTAATTTCTTAACTACACTAATATGAACAAAACTTCGTGTAGCACCACAATCGAAAATTAAATTAGTTAACTCTGACTTTCCCTCATAATGAGCTAACACTGAACAGGTTTGCAATAAAGCATTTTTCTTCAATGATTTATCACAAGGAACAACAGAAAGCGTGTGTTCTTTCGGGGAGTTTTGTGTTTCATCTACTGAATTATCTCGCGAGCTTTTCGCACAATTCTTTTATGTTTTGATTTGAAGACCGTTCGCGCTTTTGTTACGATTTGAACTACTCGTACATAGTGACTCATGATGCGACGTTATACCCGCATCTTAAGCAGTTAGTTTTGTATTTCTGCAACGAATTTCCAAATGTGATATTTTCGAAAACAAATAAAGCATCTATTTTCAGTACGTAACTTACACAATTTTTCTTTAATGCTTTTATCACAAGAAGAAAATGAATTATGGGACTTTTCGCAGAAGATGCATGCGCGATTATCAACAGCATTGAAAACTGGCAGCCGTAGGTACATTTCTGTGAATTTTTTTTTTTTTATAATCAGACCTTAGCGTGTTCGAAACGTGGAGGCAAGGTATTTCTTTTATCTCGCGTCAATAAACTTCACGACGCTTCACGACATTCAATTTCCCGCTTTATGAAGTCCAAAAAGTCTGAAACATTAATTTCTTCATTTGGGTTTTTCCTTCGATTAAATTCCAGAACGAAACTCTTCTGGAATAGCTTTTTAACAACACAGGTATTAATTAATAACTGACCAAATGAACCTTTCGCAACTCCTTGCGCTTCCAAATTCCGAACTGCAATTTCGATTTCATCATATAACCTACGTAAAACTTTAATATTATTTGAATTCCTTTACTGGTTCTAAATTTAACAGTTTGTTCATGAATTGACTAATTATTATTTCTTTTTTCCCGAAATCTATCCTTTAAAGATTTTTATACTCTCATCGTAATTTTTTGCATTTAATTCTAATGAAGATACTACATTACTCGCGGCACCTGTAAGTACTCGTGGCACCTAAAAGTAATGTTTTCAAATATGCCGAATTTTTCTATCTTACTAAAACTTTCGTTTTTGTCTGTATAGTGCCTTTCGTAACTGTTCCAAAACTCCATAAATTTTTCAGGATCACCTGAATATTTCTTCTAAAACTAGTTTTGGAAGTTTTACCGTACTTTGTACATTTTGCAGTCTAACCAAGTTTTGTTCAGGATCTTTAATACTTATTTTATCCTCTTCCAACATTCGATTAATTCGTTTAATAGCTCGAAGAACATTTTTCCTGATTTTCGTCACAATTAGCTACATCCGCTTCTAGAGAATCTATCTCAATTACGGAATGAATTGCCTCGTCTAATTCTTTCAAATTACTTTTCCTTTCTATTAATAATTCATGCACTTCGCATAATTCATCTGTATCTTTCTTTGCTAAGCTATCCTCGACTTTTCTTTAGTAGTTTAGATACTGCCGTTCTCAATGCGGTTCTCTTTCGTTTTAATCTATCTGGTTCTGCCATTATTTCGCATTAATACACAAATGTACCCAAGACTGCAAATTATCAAAATTCAAATCAAACACGTTCAAATTTAATAATAATCATGCTTTTACTAGGGCATGGTCTGGACACATACTTCCTCGTGAAGTTCACTTTAACAAATCCAAACTTTCCGTAAGATGCACCATTGTGACGAACCTGCATTTATCCATGGCGGCCCGTAGAGCAATCACAAAACATCCGGTGGTTCAGTTTTCTAATACTATTTATTATCCGTTATATTTACATATTTACAACTGTCCTATTGTTAGGTGGACTACCTTCACAGAAATCATGTTGCCTAATCAAACGACATTTCGTTTCTACTTACATGCATTGCGCTACTTCCAAGCAGCGCCCTCTACTTCTCTCTTTACAACACGAGCATCGAGAAAGAAAAAGGTCCTGGATTTGATGGTTTGACTTTAAACCAAACTTTGGGTGGCTTGTTAATACATAGGACACCTAAGAAAGTTGATTAGTGTTAATGAGGTTAAATGGGGTTTTTAGGGGTTAAAGTGTCTTTATTTTAACTCTAAGATCGACATTTTTCGAGATAAGTGAGGGTAATTACAGAACTTTATTTTTCGCATTTCATAACGCAGTATAAAATCAGCAACATAATATAAATATTTCAATGTACACTGGCGACAAAGAATCGCAATAATAGAATCAGAAGCGATGGCAGTACTAGAAAAATATGTATTGTGAGTCGTACAAATCATCGATTCTGTTCAGTGAGCAAATAGTTTTGATCTGATCCCATAAAAAAGCATCTTTGTCCAACTTTAGTAGTCAGACCTGGTTCGAAAACAAGCGGAACAAGCCAACTCTATAGTTTGCTTTTATTGTTTTGCCACGGTTAAGGTGAATACGAGTCACTTTCTTTTGGAAAATTCTTCCAGGCAGATAATTCTCGTGTGATTTGCCATATTCAAATAACCAAGCATAAGATATATCTTTCAGTAACTATCCACATAGCTTGTTATGTTAACTCTGAGAGATTTTGCCATTCGACGTTCCGTAATATCTTCATTTTAGAAGTTGAAATTTGTTTACCTAACGAAGCAATTTAACAAAAAATGTCCATACTTCTTAACAATTTATTTTATTTTTAATAACATATCTTACTAATGTAATTTATATTACATGTAATTTATGCAATTTGTAATAGACCTTTAATAACCATCTGTACCACTATTGTAACTAACAAAAGGAATTTCTAACATTATATGTTATTTATCTCGCAGAATAATCGTTTGCGAGTTGCCCAGCAATACATAATTTGCATCATTCCGTTCATCTTTTTCAGTTTAAATCAGCGGTTGCCAACCGGGGGTCCGTGAAAACTTTTTTGATGGTCCGCAGGAAAACTGGGACATTATTTATATTTTTATGAAGATTCAGTTTAAAAATGACAAGTAACAAGACCTATTATGGAATATCGATTATACATTTTTTTTTAAATTTAATTTTAGCTACTACTTTTAGTAAAATTCCTTCTGAATTTAGTGACTTTTTATCTATTTTTGTAGATGTATCTAGCGACATTTGAAAGTGAGAGTTGGCATCCATGGTTGTGCTACTGTTATCAATATTAGCTCGAACTGAAATTCTCTTTCCTTTTTAATTACAAACATATGCTATTGTGGTCGTTAATAAAGGAGTTTTTCCCGATGACAATAGGCAGCTTGATGGATTTTTATGAGAACCATCTGCATTCTTGTTTATAATTGCATCACTGGAAGTTTCCGTTTTTGTTTTGTCTAACTGTTGATCGATAGCGCCATTGCGATGATTATTATGTTCACAATAATTAAAAAATTGGTGGCATAACACTTTCAGTTTATTGATATTGCTTTGCGTCTGCCGGTTTGTTCTTACTTTTCGTGAAGTTCCTTTTCAGTGGTGTGGAAATGTGAAGCTTTCTGTACAAGAAGGTAAAATTTTTATACTTTTAATATAATTTTTCAGTGTGAACAAAATATGTGTATCAGTGAGATGTTAATAGTGTTTTAATTGTTACTCATAATCAGAGACGTAGCCTGAATTTCCGTAAAGGCATGCTGCTGAACACCAAATGTTTCGAAAATTATATTAACAAATGAAAATTAGAATTACATGTATTGGAAAGTTTAATATTGTTTTTGCGTATTAATTTGTTGTTTTTAAGGTCTGATTTAATTTTTTTTTCTTTTTATAATTCAAATTAGTGGTCCGCCGAACATAAAATTATATATGTAGTGGTTCGTGAAGTTCTAAGGGTTGACGACGGGCGGTTTAAACAGCAATCAGGTTAAAAATTCTTTTCATTACGAGTAAAAACTATATTATACTTACAATTGTTGATACTGCTATATTTCATGTATTCATAAAACTACTTAAAGTATTTCTATATTTTTAATAAGTTGTAATAAATTATAATTTTTAAACTTCTAAAAGAAAATTAAAAAGAAAGCATGTGCTTTTATAATTAGCTTAAGATATTTTAGGGGCTACTGAACTAATAAAAAAGTTTCATGTTAAATGAGTTATTCATTATATAAACATTAATAATTATTTCAACTTGTGAAATTAACCTTGAAAACAGTTCGCTGAAAGGAAAAGGTTATTCAAGCGTGACACCCTACTCTGAAATTGCCCCACAACTAAACTTGCGAGTTTGGGAAATATTTTGAGACCGAAGATGGCAGTGATCTATGTGATAGCTGTTTTCTTCAGACAAGTTAATGTTTTATCAAATTGCAGATAGAAAAACGTTCAAAATCCTTTTGTTACTTTTTGAGAATACTGCTTAGTCGTAAATCATCTGCAAGCAAATAATTCATTTTCTCCATTTGAAAATAATATTTTTCCCTAATATGTAATCAGAATGAATCGAAATAAAAATATATGGTAAAATGCTTCGATGAATGCGAAAGCAAGCAATTTCTTTTAATAATTTGAAATATCTTTTAACGTTCTTAGTAAGCTAAATCTGTCATAAATGTGGAAATATGTTTTGATTAAGTATTTACTTGAAAACAAGCAAACGAGATAACTTTGATAAATAATTTTATTCGTTAGCCCAGAAGGGCTTTCGTTTTCGTTTTGGTATTTTGTGTTGATTCACTATAAACGGCGGATCATTTTTTAAATTGTTGCCATCAAATATTAGGGCCTTGTATTACATTTAAAGAAATTAAATAATGAAGAATCTGCATAAATGTATGCATGTTTCTCGCAATGTGATAAAACAACGGTACTAGAGCCATCAAACTTTGAATAACGTACGTCTTTACCCGAATATGGGCTTCTGGAAGCCCGAATTTGGAATTTGTTTTATTACGTATTTCATATTTTATAAGGCATATATGAATTTTTGATTAAGAATCTCAGCGATTTCAAAGGTAGTCATAGCAACACTGTACGAAAAAAAAAAAAAATTTTATTTCCAGCTCGCGAGACTGTGTATCGGAAATTCTAAAGACATACTCTGTAGAGACATTACACTAGTGTGCAAAAATTAAGGACGAAGTCGAAAAATTAGCATATCAGCTGAACGAAGAGGCAGAGCGCACAGAAAGACCAATCAGAAGATTAAGTAAAGTGATGTACGGTAGCACATGCGTAGATATGCAGGTAGACGTAATGGGGGAGTGTCTGAGTAGTATAAAGCATGCTGTCGGTGTAAGATCAGTATTTCTGGCAAAGAGATTACACGCCGTATAGCAGTTAAAATCACACCTAGTTGCTGCCTCAGCGAGAAATGGCGAATAATCAATCTGTTAGACGACATCTGGATGCTTTTACCCGAGGTCGAACCATTGGGAAGTTGGAGAAAGGCCGCAGTGTGACAAGTGTGGCTGTAGAGTTCGGAATTGCTCACAGCGTCGTTTCACGACTTTGAAGACAATTTCAAACTACAGGAACAGCTATTCGGGGGTTTAGTAGTGGTCGTCCACGAGGAACCACACCCGCAGATGACCGTTATATTGCCTTACAGGCTAGAAGAAACAGGCGGCAGACAGCGGGAGAAATCGCTAGACACACGACACAGGCGACTGGACGACCGATATCGCGTTTTACCGTGGCCAGAAGACTGCACGGTGGTGGTCTGTTTGCACAACGCCCTGTACGGTGTGTACCTCTAACGCCTGCCCACCGGAGAAGGCGTTCTCCGTAGTGCCGGGAACACCGGAATTGGAGAGACAATGAATGGGGACGAGTACTCTTTACAGATGAGAGCAGATTCAGTCTGAGTAGCGATTCTCATCGCATACTCATCTGGAGAGAGCGGGAAGCCGCAATCATCCCTCGAACATCATTGAAAGGGACAGTTATGGAGGTGGCGGTGTTCTCGTTTGGGGAGGCATCATGCTTGGTAGTCGTACAGACCTTCACATCTTCGACGCAAGTTCAGTCAATGGGACCCGTTATTGTAACGAGATTCTTCTTCCATATGTGCGTCTTTTTAGAGGCGCTATGGGTCCGCAGTTCCTTTTCATGGACGACAATGCACCATGTCATCGCACAGTAGCTGCCGAACAGCTCTTAGAGAATGAGGATATTGAACGTATGGATTGGCCGGCACGATCTCCGGATCTCAATCCCATCGAGCATGTATGGGATTTTCTAGGCAGACGCTTGGCAGCTCGTACCTTACCACCAGTAACGATTCCGGAGCTTCGATTGGCGCTGCAAGACGAATGGGCAGCAATGCCTCAACAACTCATTAACACCCTCATTCTCAGCATGGGAAGACGCTGTGAAACCTGCCTAGCAGTCAGGGGAGATCATATCCCCTATTAAAGACCGGATGTTTCTTGGTGGACACCCATCACAGGGAGTTTTCGGCCTTCAGTCGCATTGCGCTCCATGCTACTTTTTCAATAAAGCTTCTTTTTATCCCTCTGATTTCTCTTTTAGTAAGTGTTGCTTACATTACTCATGTCCTTACGTATTGGGGATCTTACGGTATTAAATGTGTTGATTTGGAAAGCTTTTGTACAAAGTTATATTGAAAAAACCGTCTCGTCCTTAATTTTTGCACACCAGTGTAGGTTAATTGGAAAAGTCGGAGAGAAGAAAAATTAGCAAACGCCTTCGCCGGGAATCGAACCACCGACCTCTGGAATACCGGCCCAGTGTGCAGAACCACTGCACCCCGAAAGCACGCTAGGAAGGCGGGAGAAATACCTTATAACTCTTTTAAAATTGTTTTGTGATATTGCTGTTGAATTGAATTTTATGATTTAAGTGCCAAGAATTTTTATGATTTATGCCAATTGATTTTTATGATTAAGTGGTATTTAATAAATAAAGGTAACACACAAAACGTTAAAAAAAAGTCCCTTTGGGCGTAATATAAAATCTGAAAACTTTCAGATTTTTTTATATTAAATTTCTCTTTTAGTTTTCTTTTTTCCCTTTAATGCTGCACAAAATATTAAATTCGATAACAGTTGTTATTTTGAAAACTCCATGTAAAATTAAAGAGTCTGTTCTTGAAATTAATATTATAAGGTTTATCTTATTTATTAACCATGCAGAAATTTTGTATGCAAGTTATTAAATTATGTCTTGCTGAAAAACAATTGAATAAAACTAATTAACTGCTTAATTTTCTATCTTGCTAAAAAAAGGGCCAGTATCCAATATAAGAATTCTAGACTTTTCACCAATCACATTAAACTCAGGGATATCATCATAAAAGAATGTATATTTTCATTCTAATATATAAAAGTTTTCACAAAAATAGGTACATTGATTAGTGATAGTCAGTGAGGATTAACATATGATTTACATTCAAAATTTAAAAGATTCTACGGAAATGAATACTTTTTTATCGATACCTGTTTTTAAATGTAGTTACAACGCTTCAGACGCTCATCCTTCGAAATTTTGCATCTTCTGCATATTTTCTCGAACCTCACAAGCAAAACTGCACTTTTTCCAAATAATCTTCTAAAATGAGAAATTTAATGCATATAAAAAGCTTCAGAAAAATGTATTTAAGCGAAATTTGAATTTTTCTGGCAGCTTAAAAATGTTGGACGACCACCAATATTCTATTATGTAAAAAACTAAAGCTGTCATTCACAATAGACTATATGATACTGCATTGATCATGCATATTTTCAAGAACTTTTTTCCTCTGAATAAAATTTCCTTTGGCAATTTTCTAGGAAAAATATATTGCATTCTATTTTATTCTATTATACATTACGAACGAACAATAGCAGATAATACACTATATAAATAGGCACTGTTATTCTCACATATATATATGTGAAACATATTCATACGTGAAAACTAAGAAGTTTATGTTTCAGTAAGTAGTTGTCACATATACACTGCGAAAAAAAAAGGGGCAGTTCTAAATCTCCCGTTCTACATGGCCGATTGACGAAATTCAACTTGCGTTTTTCATGCCTCGAAAGCACGACTTACGATGTGTATTACGTTTATATATAGCATTGTTTTAGTATAGGTATATTGACACAAAATCGGACTTTTTGTGAAATGACATGCCAATTTTTTCCATGTTTCGATTCTACGACTCAAATTACGCCAAACTGACAAATTTTGTCAAAATCGTACGAATACTTTTTTTTAAAATTAGCTCTCAAAATTTTAGCTCCTAAATATTAATTGAATTTGATAATATTTATTAATATCTCTTTTTATTAAACTCACTTGATTCTTTCTTCCAGAATTCGAAATTTAGGATTAATCCTAATATAATTCGCACATTTTCTTATTTATTTTAAAAATTTGTATATTTAAATATTTTTTAAAAATTTTTCGAAAAATGTTGCATTATAACCTATACAATTTTTAACATCATCTTAAAGTAGATGTATTTCTAAGCATATCAGAACGAAAAATTAGAGATTTTTATTCAAATTTTCTTAATATACACGAGAATTTATATTTTATTGAGTTTTGAAATTTGGCGTTTTTAATAGAAACGATAATCACAAAAATATGGTTTACGCACTTTGTTAAAATTATTTGAAAGAATGCACGATGGTCCTTTTTTCCTCTCAATGAAAAAAAGGAAAGTAGGTTACTATAAATAAAGAATTTCGCCAAATGAATTATTCTTGGCTCAAGCTGAAAAAAATGCACTAAGAGAAATAATTAACTTTCTTCATAAATTTCTCACCAAAAATTTCAAAATTTAATATCTAGGCAATTCAAAATATGGAAAATCTGATGTATTATTTCAGAAAAAGTCTGATTTTGTGTCAAAATATCTATGTTAAAAATACTATATATAAATCTAATATATATCTTAAGTCGCGCTTTCCAGACATGAAACACGCAATTTGAATTTCGCCAATCGGCCCAGTAGAACGGGAGAGAGTACTGTCCTCTTTTTTTTTTTTTTTTTTTTTCGGAGGGGGGGACTCCAAAGGAGCTTAGTTCCTGAAAGGCTGTTGGTCTCGTTTTGCGATTTTGTGTTGAAAACTTTAAGAGGCTGTATCACTTTTCGATCGTTGCCATCAAATACTATTGCCCTATGTTCGTTTTTATTGAAGAAATTTCGTTTATATTTGAAGAAATTAAATATTCGTATTTAATTTCGTATTGTGATAAAACAACGGTACCTAGAGCCGTTGTTTGTCGTATTGTTTGTCGTATTGTGTCGTATTGGGATATTTGGACGTACTTAGAGCCATCCAATTTTGAATGACGTAATCCTGCTGCGAATATGGGCAGCTGAAAGCTCAAATTTGAAATTTGGAATTTGTTTTATTATCGCTTTCATATTTTGTAAACCTTTAACGAATTTTAGAGTAACAAATTAAACGATTTAAAAGCGAGCAGTGGCAACACTCTACGGGGGGGGGATAACATGTTTATATCCAGCGCGCATAACTGTGTATCGGAAATTCGAAAGATATGCTCATTTTTATTTTGTGACATTGCTGTTGAACTGCGTTTTATGGTTTTAGTGCAAAAAGCATGATATTTAATAAATAGAAGTAGCATACAAAACTTTAAAAAAACGCCCTTTTGTGCAATCTGAAAGGTTTCAGATTTTTGTTTGGCGCAGTTTACCTCTGAGGTCATAGTCGCTTCCTGTAAATTGTGATTAATGTTTGATAATTTGAAACAATTAACTCAAGCAAGCTGAAGCGTAATGCATTGGTTATTGAAATCGAAATACAAATGTTACAAAATATTGTTAAAGGAGACTTTGTAAGTCTGATACGTAAAGAATTGAATGTTGGAATATATATAGTGAATAACTGACTCGAAAATCATAAATCTTTTGAAGTTTTCAACATTTTAATATAAACTGGAAAAGTATTTTTAAGGAGGTCATAATAAAAAAATACCCAAACATACGATGAAATTATTTATATGAAACGAACATAAATGTCATATGTATTAAACCGTATTAGCACTGTTTAAAGTATACTTTTACAGATTAACCAGCAATCGTTTATGCAGTATAACTCTGGATCCCATATGAACCGATTAAGAGAATGTACTATGTATATAAACTGAGCATGAAGAAGACCGGTTTATTGACTACGTATTTAGAAATGATATTTTAAAAGTTCAAGATGAAAGAAATTTAAATGAGTACCTCATTAATTATAGCACATGTGAAATGTTGATGATATTTGTGCTTTTATATTTATTTGAAGTTTCACAAAGTGTAGTTTTCCTTAATTTTTGAAATTGTATCATTTATGTATTAATTTTTAATTGGTAAATTTTGGACTAACTTTATGCTTCAAAATTATTTTTCGAATATTAATAATTGAAACATTCATGATATGTTTGTGTTTGACTAGAGACCAATCAATCATTTAGTTAAATGTTTTGGCACCCTTTCTGTTATCGGGACTGTATTAAAAAATAAATGTATGTATGTGCGTATACATGCGTACGTACATATATACATGCATACGTAAACACATCCATCCTTACATGCATACATAGATACAATTCTGAATTCGGTTCCGATAACGGAAGAGTACAGAAGTATTTTTGAACAAAGGAGTAAAATATTTAGAAAAATTCAGAATTCAAATATAAATGGTGTAATAAATTGTTTTTAAGGATAATGCTTCTCATTGTATTAAAAAAATGTTTTAACTAGGAATATCAGAAAGGTTATCTTCTTTGATTTCTTCCTTCAGGACTTTATGAAAAATCAATAGATTGCTGAAAGGTAAATCACCAGTAAGTGAATACAGCTATTCTCTTATATAAAAATGTTACCTACTGTTGCCATCTGCTTACACAAACACAAACATTTTACTTAATTTAGAAAAATGAGATGGAAATATCGTTGTTTCAATACCAAATTTTACTCCAATAGGCTTTATCATTGATTTTTTACATAATGCTGTACAAAAGTAAGCCAGAAATTTCGTAGGATTTCCATAATGTATGGCACTAGGAAGTTTTTCTTTAATCATATTAATTGTATCGCCATAATGAACCTTACATACATGCCATATAAAACTATTAAAAAGTAAATTTTTAACGGTTCACTTCGTTTTACTTCTGCAAAAAAATTGCTGTTGCAGTACATAAATTAAATAAAATTTCTTCAATAAAATAAAATAAATTACAAACGGAATGAAAATAATAACACTTGAAAGAGTCTGACACGTGCTACTAAATAAATAAGTAAAATATTAAAGAAAATTTGCTACTTAACATAATTTTACTAAGTATAAAGACAAAAATACATTGCGGCCTTTTTCTCACATTAACTACAGCTTTTAAAGTAAATCTTCATCACTGCTTGTTTCAGTAAACAAAATTAATTATTTTACGGGTTTGTTACTTCAGTAATTTTATCCTTTTAGTTCAAAACATAATCAAGCATAGAAAAACAAATATATATTCTTTCATATATGTATAGAAATAAAGAAATGGAATTAAATAATAAAATTTCGTCTTCGCTTACGATTCAGCGTATCCAATTATCATGTGTTGAAAATTTTTTATTTTCTTTTAATTGATTTGAAGAACATAAATGAAAAAATTGCACGAGTTTTAATTACTTTCCTCTATAAAATAATATATTACACGGATCTAAAAACACTCAAATTAAAAGTTTTTCTGCGATAAAATAAAGAATTTTCCCCCAAAGACGTGCTGTTAATATAAGCGTAGCCCTAAATTAAATACAAATGGACAAAGTCTGGGCCGCTCATTTCATTATCTTTTCAACGTGCTAAATAAAAGATAAAAAATTCATTTCAGATTACCTTGGAAATTTGTTTTGCAGCAGTCAAAACGATAGCAATGAAAAAAAAAATGAATGAAATTATTCAACAAAAAATTTTTCTAACTCATCTTTGGATTCTAAAATTCGCGATAACAGCATTCAGAAAGTGTCACTCACTGGCGACATAAATTATTCACACAAATCTCATAATACCCGGAAGGTATGCGGGAAGATTTGTTTGAAACGGAAATATGTTTCGTTGGTCTGAACATTATCGCCCTTTTTAACATTATTTTTCTGTTTCTTTTCAGCTCTTTGGAAATTCTTTGAAAAAAGTCACCAAGCATTTTGCATTATATTGCTTGCACCGTAAATATAATGCACCAGTTTCGAAATAATCTTATTTGCAATACTTATTATTGCTATGCTTGTAGAGACATTAGGTATTTTTTGAAGGAGGCAAGATGAGCAATCGCATTCGCCGGGAATCGAACCACGGAGCTCTGGAATACCGCCCCAGCGTGCAGAACCACTTTATCACGAAGGCACGCTAGGAAGGCGGGAGAAATACCTCATGTGCTTTTTATTTATTATGATAGTAATATCCTCGGCAGTACGCAAGAAATACAAATTTGCATACAGTCAACACAACGGATCTGCAAAATAGTTTTCTTCGAGAGGAACATGTGTAATGTTTAACTGACTTCGTTCTTTGAAAAATCAAGTTGATTCTCGTATATCTCAGAAAATACTCATCTTTCTGTCTGACGGCAGTGAGTGCCGTGATCCAGTATTTGGTACAGGCACAAAAATAATTGAGAAAAAAAATGTATATAAGTGAAACAGGTGACAGATGAGAGCGAGTCCGGACACTCGAACGGTTTACAAAGACTGTTCGTTTATAGTCCAAATCAGGAATTGTACAACACAAGGACTTGCTGTCGCCCCATGAGCGCGCGTGTTTCATAGGAACTTTTGACTGTACACGGCCGGCCATACAGGAGCAAGCTATAAGACAATTGTTTCATACAAGATGTTGTTACACTGATTTTTTACACTGTTAATGCTCTTTGTTATACGGATACTGTAACTGATATTTAAAAATTTTACGTTGATAATTTTACACTGATATTTAAACATTTTCGTTGATACTTGGGCATTTCATACTGATTCTACTCTGAGATGTATTAGTTTCTCACTGTTGTGTGTAATATAATTGAAACAGCGGAAAGTTCAGAACTGTGGTTTTCGCTTGGTGCCCACTAATTTTAAAGGTTGAGGAAAACGAAACTAATTTTGGTTTGGTTTGATAGATTGTAAAATAGAAAGTACACAAGGACTATCTCCCTAAGGGGATGCATGCTCGGCCACTGGTGGGTGAAAACAAAACTAGAGTTCTTTAGATCAGAGTTTCCCAATCAGAGCTGTCCCGAAGCAGGGTTCCAAATATTGTTACGGCCTGCCTCATTGATTAAAAAGTATGTAAGTAGCGACAGGCAATCTGATTGTTAAGGCTTCTGCAAGAAATAAGAAAACAGCAAGTACATAATAAAAGGAAAATAATTTGTTTTCCTGATGATTCGATATTGTACTCGGGTAACATCGGCGGGGAAAGCATGTGTGACTCATACAAGACTAGCCGATGATAACTGAAAAACTGCCTTTCGCTGTGCGGCTAAGCTCTATTAGACTTTCCAGACGTCTTCAATAGTTGCATGAATTTCTTTGTCACTTGCATGACCAGTTCAGTCGTTAAAAATTATATTTAAATTTAAAAGAAATTAACTTTTTCAGTTAGCAGTTTTCGTTAAACTGTACATTGACATTACAAGGCTATGCATAGCCGAACAGTCAACCGGGCATAGCCAAATAGTCAAGACGGCTTTTCAATTGACAAGAACTATAATCTAGTGTGACTGTGTCTGCTTCAGTGATGTAAGAAATGTAGGATTGGTGCTTGTGTGTATTTTTCATTTTATTTTATTACACTATTATTAATTTTTACTGCTATTTTATTAGTATTTTATTCGGTTTTGTTGCACAGTGTTTAGAATCTCGTACGAAATTTCAGCGGACTGATAAAGAAATGCAAGAAAGATTTGTTTTTGCAATGAAAGTTTTATTTATCAATGGGATTTTCGTGGACTGATGGTTCAGAATGTCTTCTTCCACTGCGTCCCTTTTATGGTAAAAAAAGGTTTGAACACAGCAATGGGTACAACGAAACTGAACAGATATTTCGTGACAAATTCTACAAATATAAATGTTAAAACTGTTCATTATTTTGAAGCTCTGTAAAAATCTCGAAGTACAGCTTTGTAAATACATTTAGAGTTGGTAAAAATGTTCAGGAAGCAAATTATTTGATAGCAGAGATTATTGTTCAGAAAAGAAAATCACACAGGCGATAAGAATCTGATAATGCCAGCATGTAAAATAATAGTGGGTAAAAATGTTAGGAGAAGATGCACTAAGGAAAACTGAAAATATTTCACTTTTGAACACAATGAATCAATGCTTTGTCAAATGATGCTGAAGAGGTTTTTTGTGATAAACTGAAAAATGATAGTTTCTCAATTAAAGTGGGCGAGTCAACAGATTTGCAGACCAACAAATGTTATGTTCTAGCATTTGTAAGATTTGTTAATGAGGGAGAAAGTCAAGATAACTTCCTGTGCTTTAAACAGTTATTTGAGACGAGCACAGCTATAGATAAATTTAATATTTTATCTGTATGTCTGGAAAAAGATCTTTTTTGTAAGAATTTGTATTGGCACTTGTACGGATGGTACTACTTCGTTGGTTAGCTCCATAAAAGACTTTGTTACTGTTATGAAAGAAAAAATTCCAATTATTGTTTCCGCACATTGTTTTATTCATAGGGAAATGTTGATGTAAAATTTGTTGGTAATGAATTACAAGCGATATTTGATTATGTTATAAAACGAGTGAACGAAGCCACTCGAGAATTTTTTAAAAGCTCTGTGGAAACATGCCTAAAGACGACTCAAATCTGTTTTTATAGACCAAAATTCGGTGCTTAAGTAGAGGCAACGATTTTAATTGAGATTTTGAGCTAAAGAAGAAATGCAGGCACATTTCCAACAAAACGACGAACAAGATTTTAATAAATAATTTGAGGATCAAATGTGTGTGCAGATGTTAGCTTATTTAAATTGTTTTAATCACTTGAATAAATTAAATAAGTTACTGCAAGGCGGCGGAGAAAACATACTAACTTCAAATGATGAAATTTTTTGATTTAAAGGAAATTATAATTACGGAAAGATTTTGCTGTTAAAGGAGATCTTGATATTTTTTAATTACTAGCGGGATTTGAAATTTGATGGATACCAACAAATTTCAAGTCTTATTGTGTCTTACCTATAGGAGCTGTAAAAGAAAAATTATTATTATTTTCCATCCCTATCTATCCCAAAACTATACGATTATCCCAAAACTATACGATTGATATATTGTATCCCAAAACTATACGATTGAGGGAGGAATCCGTTGTCTCGCACTTCCGTTCATCCTCAGAACCTAGCTATAAAAGAAGCAGAATAACTCTGTGATTCTCAATCGGGTGGTGAAAAAACATCAACTCAATCGCTGGGAAGAGCCTGTACTTGGATGAATTCCATCATGACATAGATTCCTCTCTACTGTTTTCTATGAAATCAAATAAATAAAAATCAGGCCTTTGTGTGAGCAAATCCATCTTTGCTAATGATATTTTGTTATCTTCGAGTAATCTGAGTTCCATAAATCTTGGAATCAACGCTCCAGAATTCGCCATTGTCTTCAGAGGGAAATTTCTAGTGACAGAATGAGATTTTATGTCATATGCTCAAATAGCAAATTTATTTAATTTTACTGATGCACAACAATTCTCAGCTTATTTCATGGTACAGTAGAAGTCCGATAATCCGGCACGTTCGGGACCGGCTCGGTGCCGGACTACCGAAAATTCCGGTCTATCGGGCGGTAATTATAAGAAAAATTAGGTTAATAATTAAACTAAAAATACAGTATGCAAATGCATACAACAAAGTTTATTTTACATTTCATATAATGTATGTACACGTACTGTAAAACATATTTCACTTAGATTTAAAAAAGTCTCGAATGTCTTTTTGTTTTCTTGACTTTTGGCGTTTAGTATAAAATTTATTTCTAATGATATGGAAATCAATAATTTCTGAAGCACTGTAGCTAGTACTAGCCTCGGCAAAAGAGATAAACTTATTTAGTGATTCTGCAGCTTCTGCCCAGCTGATTTTTTTTCCTTTTCTTCCGTTTCGGCATCTGAGTCATTTTCTTCAAGATTTTGAGTAGGCTGAGGGTTTACTACAATGTTGATAATGTCCTCATCGGTTAGTTCTTGTTCAACAGGCTCATTCTCGTCGATTAAAAGCCACTCCTCTACCTCATCTTCAGGCAGGTTTTTCAAGGGATTGTCAGTACTTCTAACGACATCCAAAACTTTGGTCAGAGCGTCTTGATGGTTTTTCTTCCTCATCAGTCTGTAGAGTTAGGTCAGATGCAGGGTTTGCAGCTGGCCAAAGTTTTTCTCCAGCATTTTTGGAGTGTTGTATTTTTTACCTGGTTCCAAGACTGTGCAATAGCATAGACGGCATCTTTTACTGTAAACTTTTTTTGAAAATCAGTCACGTCACAGTCGGCATTTAACAGGCCTTGAATAAAAGACCTTCTATAAAAGCATTTAAAATTTTGAATAACCCTTTGGTCCATGGGTTGAATCAAAGATGTTACGTTAGGTGGGAGCAGAGTAGCAACAATATTTCCAGAAACTAACTCATCTACTGGCGGATGGGCTTTGCAATTGTCCAAAAGAAGGATGGCTTTAGTATCTTCTGGTAGACCAAGGCTTTTGAAGGATTCCTTGACCTCAGGCACAAAGTGGTGATAAAACCAGTCTTTAAAGAGGGCGGCAGTTATCCACGCATTTGATTGAGCATCGTATTGGACAGGCAAGTGTGTAACATTCTTAAAAGCCCTGGGTTTTGCAGATTTACCTATCACAAAAAGGGTCACTCGGTGGTTTCCAGACGCATTAGCACATAGCAAAACGGTTAATCTGTCTTTGTTTTTTTTTAAACCCTTGGCTACTTTTTCTCCTCCCCCAGCTAGTGTAGATGTTGGTAAACATCGCCACAATAGCCCTGTTTCATCAGCATTGTAAATCTGTTCAGGTGTTAAATCATTATCAGCCACGATTTTCTCAAACTCGTCTTTGTATTTTTCTGTAGAGTTTTGGTTTGCTGAAAGGGTTTCTCTTCTTGCTGAAAGTCTTCGAATTCCATGCCGAAACTTAAAGTTTCTGAGCCAACCATCAGAATAATTACATTCACTTTCAGCAACTCCTAAATCTTGGCCGAATTTCTTTGCCTTTTCAACAATCATTGGCCCTGTTACCGGCTTTCCTTCAGAACGTACTGCACTAAACCATTTGAACAATACACTATCTAGCTGTTCCAGTTTTGGTTTTTTTAATGTTTGTCTAGAAGCCAATTTTTCAGTTGTTACCGATTGAGAAGCAAACTTCATTAGTTCATCTTTTTGTTTTTTAATGTCATAAATAGTTGATGAGCCAATATTAAACTCATTCATTAAAACATTTCTATTCTCGCCTTTTTCTAGCCGTTTGATGATTTCTAGTTTCTGATTGAGAGTCAGTGTTACGTGTTTTCGTTTCTCTCCTTTTGAACTCGAAGGCTTAGGTTTTGAAAACATGGTCACTGTACAGTTAGAACGAAAATCACTTTTTTTATAAACAGTTTCAAAAGTTACGTTTACTGCGATGTGAAAGGACACAAAACAACAACGCACAAAAAAATGGCGAAGACGCTTCGTGATTGATTAACGGAGCTGCACTGCACCTGAATTTGTTGTCACAGCTGAGACTAGCCGACCGCTAATTGTTTCCGAACAATACCGAGCGCTTCCGGATGATCTCGAACTACCCCGAAAACTTCCGAATAGCTCTCGAGCGGTTTTATTTGCTTTAAAGACACACTTTTGGAGAAAACCAAAATTTTTACAATTTTCCGGAGCGATGCCGGACTATCGGGCATTCCGGACTGTTGGATGCCGGACTAATGGACTTCTACTGTAACATAAAAACCTTCCAGATCATAATACTTTCTTCGACGTTTGTACAGTGGGTAGAATTAATCTGAAAGTAATTTCTTAAGTCTCTTAAGCTTAATATTTCTATCTTTTCCAACCTTTATGCTTTTATCATTTTGAAACAGCGTAAATGTGGATTCACTTCACTGCACATTATTTCCTATTGTTCTGAATAGTTTGCATTTTTCTGAATGTAATTTATCTTTGGGTTGTATATTTTCTGCTCCTGCTTCTGCAAGCCAATAATTTGACATTCTTTTTTTCCATAACGCAATTTTTTGGTATCATAACACTCATGTTTTCATCACAAAAACATCATTAGCCACGATTGCTTTGAAATGACCAATTGTAATATTTTAAGGCAGTGTTAATTAAAGAATACATTTCACGTAAAATTATACAGTTTTGTAAATATTTAACCAATTTTTTTCACGCTTAATATTTTTACTTTCAAATTTATACTGTGCTTTTAAATTTCTATTTTTTATCAGATACAAGACACCTAGTGTCCCTAAAAAAGAAACCACAGCCTGAATTCTTTCAAACGTTGATCCTAAGCTTACAATTACTTTGCGTTTTAATAAGTACGAATCTTTTTAAAAAGATTTTCAGTTATGCTTGTGAGTGTGTTTTTTGTCCATATATATGTTTAATTTTAAAGTGCATAACTGTTTTGTATGGCTTTATTATTGAGGTGAAAACATTTTTATCAGTAAGACGGTCATTATACTATAATAAAATGCAAAACGCTCTTATTTCAATAAGATAAGAAATATTCTTTATCATCATGTGTGAAACTTGAAGATATATGTGCGAATAATAGTTTTATTAGGTAGGCTATAAATTAATAGCATAGTACTTCGTCACTTAACATGTAGCCTGCTGTTCTCAATTGAACTATAAGTTCAGCTGAAAACTTTTTAATATTTGTTTGAAACAGCACTGTGAAAAGATCTATTCGTTAACTCAAATATTCCTGCAAATTTTGAAAATTGCATACCTATTTTGTTAATGTTTGTAAATCCTGTTGTATTAAAACCGTGTACAAAAACTTCCGAAGTCCTGAAACTTTGTTCTAAAAATGCTTTGCTTCGAGAAACTTTGTAATTCAAAACTTGTGTCTAAACTATATCTAGAACTTTATTTTCCAACACTTCGTCAAATCTATAAATCGGTATTATTGAGCGCAAGGCTAAATGAATAAAATCCTAAATATGGCACAAAATGATATCTGTTTAGCTGTGAACTTTATCAGCTGAGCATTAAAAATGCATAGGTATCAAGCTTAAGATTGCCAGCACTACCACTACTCTTTGCGTCTCAGATTTTACTGAACAATCTTATTCTGAACTTTTGATTAAAAACAAGTTAAAATTCAAATGTAATTTCCACCAACTCAGAGAAGAAATGTTTATTAAAACTGCTGTTGTGCCAAGTCATAAAATATGCATAAATATAAGTAACATGATTCTTAGACAAAAATCCCGAAGGCTAAGAAAATGTCATCTTAGCGTATTAATTGGAATAAGATGTTAATTGGATTACTGCGTCGTAAAGTTAGGTTTCAAAGCCGAATAATGTGAAACCCTGCATTTTTCATAATTCTTATTTGAAATATTAGCGAAACAGATGCACAGTGAGTGCCAGAGTTAAGCTTATCAATGAATATGTCCTTAATTTTACTAGTTACCATTTTCTGCATTTAAAAATTAAAATCTTCTTAAGAAGAGAGGATTATCTTTCATTTTCTATCATATGTAACCTGAACCTCATTACAAAAACAATTTTTCGCCTCAGAAACTCTAGACTACAGCATTTGGCACGCCAAATGATGGTTCAAAAATCCCATAATCATTGCTTTATGGATCAGTATATAAAATATGAAATTTCGCTGTTTATAGAGTACTGCGTTAAACAGGTTAATGTAATTTCTTGAAATGAAGTATATAAAGACTTGGAAGTTTCAAGCCTTTAGTTAAATGCCCTTAGTTAATGCAGTAAAAATCAAAAATAATTCTTAATTATTGTAATGCTCTTGGACCTATGTGACTATGAGCGTGGGCTAATGATGTGAACTTTAAATCAAAATTGTTAAAGAGAAATTTAATTTAATTCATTATGATCATTTTTACACATGTCATATCTATATGATTGCTTCTGTTACTCCTTGAAATTCTGTTAACATCTTAATAAAACCCATATACTAGCGCTCCATGATTTTATTAAAAAATTGCGTATTGATAAAACAATATAGATAAAAATATTTTATAGTTAACTTTCTACAACTATCTTTCTGAACTAACTAACTATCTAACTTTCTGAAATGCTGTAAAGAAATAATGGTTTAAAATATTGTAAAAAGATCTCAAGGGTTAAAAATAAAAACAAAGGTGATCTGCCAGCCGTGTGGTGGCCTACCGTCTTGTAGCATGTTCAGAATCAAAGAAAATTATAACATTAGCGTACTAAACTACACAGAAAGCAGCAATAAATAAATAAAAACAAATTATATACTTTTATTATATTACCAGAGGATTTATTACTTTGTCAGACTATTATAATAAATTAAACAACATTATCAGAAGAAAGCATTGATATGGTCTTTAAGAGGACCTTACTTTTAACACACAAAAAAGCACTTCAAAAGATATTGTTCAAACGATATTATTTGATTCACACAAATACTGCACATGTATCTCTCAACATGACCAGAATTTTTTTTAGTTCTTGAGAGATCTCCAATAATATTCATCAAGGTAATGATGCAGCATCGCAGATATTGTCCTAATCATATGCTGTAAAGTATCTGTTTAAGATAACTTTATAAATTTTCTGTGTTCTTAGTGTTGGCAGTATGGCAACATCGACAAAATTCGTCTAATGATTTGCCGTCTGGTGGGTGTATCATGTGATTAGTACTGTTACGAATTTTGCAGATATGTAAAGAATTTTGATGAAATTATATTAAATTCTAGTACTAAATTCTAGTACTCTCTCCGTAATATAAAAGGCCTAAAAAATGTGAAGCTTTACCAGAAAAATAAGGTTACAGAGTCAAGTCCATTTACCAGCTGGCGAAAAATTAATTAACACTTAAGCAGATAACACAGGCGCCAGTGTGACGCCAAGCTGGCGATGGCCCTAGATACTAAATTTTGTCTCAGCCATAATTCGCCAAAAGTAGCCAAATTTGGCTATCATTTGTCGAAATTTTAGTCAGGTCCCTGTATAACTGTAATTGCATAACTATAATTGATCCCTAAGTGAAACCATAACCGTATCCGACTCTTATTTGTAGCTTTAACCGTATATGCTTCCAGTAATTTCGAGAAATGGAAGGTACTAGAGATTTCCCAGCGGACGGGTAAAAATTATATGAGGCAGGAGAGAGCACCAGTGTCAGTTTAGTTCGGAGTTTAGCTCACAGTATTGAGAGATAACTATGCGAGTTACGCACTGAGCCTTTTTTGTTTAACACTTTAGTAGTTTGAAGTGGTAACTACTTGTTGTTCGCTGGCATACTCAAAAGTGTTATACGTGTATCTTTGTGGAACGTTTCAGAATTGTAAAGTGTTTCTTTCGAGAAAATAAATTTTACCAAGCAATTCATCGGTTAGGTATGTATTCAATCCATTGCGAACTCGTACGCACGTAACAGTACTCATAAACAAAGGCAATACAAGGTAGATTATCAGTTGTTATATATACAGTCCGGTAGGTCGCCTGTAGTGAGAATACCAAAAATACTCCTTATGCTATAAATTTCGTATAGTATTCTCAAAAACACACGCCATTTATTTAAAACATTCATGCAGTAAAGTCAGCCTATTTGAGTTTGTACTCTTTTTAATCTAAGCAGATTGAACTTCATTACCAAACCAGTCAGCACATTTCTCATCACGACCTAATTATTTTTATTACTGTAATATAAGACTAAAGAACTCCAGAAACCCCTTGAAGTACTATTTCAAGAATGCTTTCATCCAATCGGTCTTCAACATTTGTATTTCAACTAAACGGTAATCAAAGTAATTCAACTGATTATTATAACGTTAAAAGACGGGCCTGAATTGTCATTTGAACACTGATAGTTATTCGTTAACGGCTGCACAGACAGGAAATGAAATAATTAGTATACACATTTTAAGACTGAGATGAATGATTGATGCATCCTGTATCATAATGCCGAATTCTGCAGCATGAATTACAGCATTCCGAGTAAGAATAAAATTCATGAATGCGAAATGTTTAGCTACTGTTTTCTACAGAAATAATTTTCTGCTATGTTTTTGCTGCTAGGTTTAATGAATAAAATACTAATGATATAGGTTTCTCTATGAACATAATCAGCAGAGAATTAAAAATACATAGGAATCGAAGCTTGGAGATTAAATGCCTTGAAGCATTTAGTGAATACGAATATTTAATTTAATAGAGAAATCAGAGTTTTCGATGATCATTTGTAAACGCATTTGATGGTCTTGTGTAGTTTCTCAGCTTTTTTGCTTAACATTTCACTAAGCTTTCACCGTTACATTTCCAGGTTTTGTGGTTATTTAAATCTGATTTCTAAAACCCTGATTCTGTTTAAGTGCACGTTATCAGTCACAGAATCTAAAGCCAAATATTAATTTGACTAACAGTATAATTTTTGTTTAGTTATGAGAGCAGTACTATTAACAAATTATAATACAACTACCAATATCGATATTTATTTATGTCCTCAGAAATGCTCATAATTTTTCAGTGATGGCCTTTGCTAAAAGCGGTTACCACGATAATTTACTACACACTAAAAGGCAAGAAAACTCACAGACCTATCAGATATTTAACAGGTCCTTCAAGAGAGCATAATACGCCGAGAAACATTGACTTTGTAAATATACAAAGGTATTCTGTAAGCAGTGAACGTCATACTTCGTGTAAAGCAGTTCATAACTTTTTTCTATTCCGAGATGAAGAATTTCTAGGTTCACAAACATTTCCATAACATCCCAGGTGGGGTTCACAACTTAGGTGGCCATTAAGACTCCAAACTTAGATCGGTGATTTTCTTTAACCTTAATCTGGTACCCCTAGACATATCTGTATGCAAACGGATCCGTTAGAAGAGGCCAAACCGATCGTATAGAAATGTGGATCTGAATGGTTATAACTCGTTAAAAATAATGTACCCTAGGTTGTTGACTTGTCGAATTTAAGAAATTATAAGGTTTGTTTTAGATGCACAAATTCTTCCATCTTCCGAAAACGATTGGAAATACGACTGATCAGATCAAGGAACTCGTTTGCAAAGATTAAATGCCCAGTATCCCAGTCGCTGAGCTCAGCTATGCTGCATGGCTCTGTGTACAGTGCATTCATAAGTTTTACTCTCGTTTGAGCGTCGGATCCCAAAGCCCTTTTACTGGAGACTTACTCTACTCACTAAGACCCTCGCACTGAACTCCATTGTTACTGCAGGATGTGTTTTTCTTTCCTATCGCGTAACATTATTTTTGCCAGTTAGTGCTGGTTATGTTCATCCAAAGTCCTTTAAATGCCACACTTTGTCAAGAGCTCAGAATTTTAGCATAATTGTAGTGACGGTACAAAGTTAGTTTAAGTGAGTTTCTGCCATTATATCATAGTCAAAATAGCTCAAATTGCCAAAATTTGTTATTCTGCTGTGTCACTACAGACAGTGTTGCATTCCTATTGCGTCGAAAGAGCTTTCCCAGTTAGTGCTGGTAGTGTTCATTCTTAAATTATATGCATTCTTAAATTTGTAGCAAAATTTGAGAACTTGAGACAAAATTCAAGTTATTTCCTCTGACATAGGAAATTTTTAATGTGCTTAAACGCGGATGTTACATGTTAGTGGGGTTCTACGTATAAATCAAATATGCGCTATGAATCGCTCCTTTGAGATATGAAAAATACAAGCTAAATTTTGCTGATCTACTTACTAGAACGTGATGTGTAGAAATGACCAATCTCTTTTTTTTCCCGTAGTATACAATTCTCCGTCATAATAAATAACTATATTATTTTTAACAGGAGAATTCTACACCTTTCTCAATAAAACGGATTTTTTTCCGCCGTGTCCAATATTTATGATTGTGGAGAACTAACTGTACTAAGAAATGGCTCAGAAGGCAAATAATTTTAAGATGGTCTCATTAAAATTCCCTTACACTTCGTTATATAAAAGGAAATTAGAGGTTTAACATAAATTGAGAAATTTTGTTTCTGTTATCAAAGATCCTATAACTCAGAAACATGTGATATCTTTTATAAACGAGCAACCCGCGAAGAATGTCATTTTGGACAAGCTATTGAGTCAATACATAACTTTAACGACCAGCTGAATTAAAACTGAAAAAGAGAGATAGGAAACATCTTCCAGACTTTGCTTTTACGAGACAAATATAATGAAAAATATTCGTGAATGGCATATTCTGTGGTCAAAATAATAACGGAAATATTATATTGTCATCTTTTTCAGATTTTAGCATAAAAATATAAAGAGAGAGAGAAAACTGTTTCTTTTGAATTGTGTATACACCCTAAAATGCAAAACACTTTTCACATTTTCAAAACTTTTGGGTTTTGTTATTCTGAACAATCATGTAGTTGTAAGTTCTAAATAAAGAAATCGGTATAGCCGTTAATACCTTTATTAATATAAATTTTAATGCGAAACTGCAAGCCGAGGAATTTTTATTTTTAACATCAATTGCCCCTACTGCCCTTCAAACTTACGGGGAACCTAACGGACCTACAATTTTTTTCCCTTTCAACTGTACGTTTTCTTTTTGAAAAGTAAACTATGAAACTATGTCAAGCTTTTGTCCAACTTTCACTAACCTTTCAATGTTGCATTCCTGTGTTTTGATTATTAAAATTTGATCTCAAACTTATCTAAAATCCTGAAGCTGAAAGAATGCATGCTATCAGTCAGGGAATGTGAAAATGAATCCTATTATCATTCGGTACACATCCTTAATGTGCAATACCTTTAATCCTACAAAGGCTTAAGGTGTCTGATGAAAATTTGAAATCCGTTTATGGCATGCAAAAGCCTCGATGTTTTAGGACGTTAACTCAGCATTTTTATGAAGGACTGATATAATTTTTACCCTGTTATTTAAATGATAGTGTAAGTTGAAAAGAAAGTTCATTCAGCGACAGAGCGTGCCTTTTCTCTGAGAGCCATATTAATATCATTTATAAAACTCTTTTGTTAGCGTGTCTGATCATCAGTATTGTAATTACATCGTCCATAACAAGAGGAGAATTTAAATGCAAATGCAGTATTTCAGTACTCTCGATTAGACTGCAGATCTATTAAGATGAAAATATTTCTCATTTTTGTTTCAATTCTGTTTATAACTTCTGTTCTTGCAGAAGGTAGGTAATTCGTTTCATTATATTTAAGTTTAAATAATTGTGTATTATAAATAGTACGCGTATTATTTAATAAATTAAATCTGGTTTAATACAATTGTAAATTGAAGAATTTTAACTTAGACTGAGGAATTCTTTTCTGTTATTAAAAAAAAAGAACTGCAGCTCAGAAATTGACACATGTTGCATTTTTAGAAGTAAAAGCATATTAGCCTATGTATTCTCGCTTCTGTATAACACAGAACTTTTAAGCATATCCGATATTATTATTACCATCATTCTTTTATCGAGCAGGAATAGTTCCAATTGTTGCTTGTATTCACATTTACGATACCAAAACTATCTCTAGAAACATTTATGTTAACTAATTAAGTATTTATTTTCGTATCTTTATTTAAAGCTTTAAATTAAAATTTTTAATCAATATTTAAGCCCCAGTGACTTTATTCTTAATAATGAAATTTAATTTGTTGGCCCAAAAGGACTGTTAATCTCGAAACACGACTTTGCGTCGATAATTTTAAATGGCGTCCACTGTAAATGCATTGTTTTGCATTTTATTCGATTCTGTTTGGCATTTGGCAAAATATAAGATGTTTATCGTTCAACTTTAATAGGTGTGTTATTGATTACTGAACTAATTATTTAAAATTATTTTACTAGTTAAGTAAGTAATAATTTAAAACTAGTTATTTAAAAGCAATTAATGCCATTTTTAAGAACATTATTTTTACACTTTTAATCTGATTGATATTAAACAAAATGCAATAAATTAATAATGTATTTAATTAAAATATTACAAATGTTTTCAGAATTAATTTGTGTATTTTTCACTTCAAAATTTATAGATTATGAGGTTTTACTTGATCTGGAATTATTAACCGCATCAGACTAGAAGTAAATTATCTCTTATGTCTAAAGACACAACAAGTCATGAAAGGGTTTAATGACTTTTGTTGTTAAACAGAAATTAGAACATGAATGCACGTTCTTGCGCTAACAATAGCAATGATATCTGTAGCATATTAGTATGTAAATAAACATATCCCATATTAGTATGCAAACAAATAACCTACATTCGTGGTGATGCAACTAAAAGAACAATCAAATTCAATTTAAAACTGGATTAGTTGTGAAAGCCTACACAATTTAAATCTTGTTCTAAGCTGTCTCAGTAGCTCTACTGGCGTATCAGATTCAAATGTCGGCAGTGATATAACGCAAAGTCGAATAATTATAGCTTATCAGAGCTAGAAAGGACTAAACGTAGACTGAACGTGCAGGATAGAAACACGCTCTGTCTTACAATCCAAACGCCTCAGTTTAAATACTAGCTAAATTCATCTACCTTCTGGTGAAGAAATGAAAAGAAGAAGCTATTGTAAAGGCTGACATAATAAATATCTGGTTAGTTTAAACAGAAATCTTACAAGATATATTAAATTCCCATTATAATCTAAAGGCATATTCTCCATATAACTATTCAACATTTCTCTGTTCTACCTGGGTCTTCTCTATTAATAATCTTTGATAAAAAATCATATTACACTTTAAAAAAGGCCATTCTGGATCACCGTTAATATCTGGATGCTTTCGTATATTTTTCTTGTTTTAATACGTTTTTAATTTTCAAAAAGTATTTTAGGAATACTTTTTATAGTATGCGGTATGAGAATATTAACATCAAGACGTATTTTTTAATATTTCGTATTAAAAATGCAAAACCTACAACTCCATTAGTTATGAATGCTGGAGTGATTTACCTCACCTATTTGATCTAACCAGAACAAGTCAACGAATTTTATCGTATCAAGGAGCGCAAGTCGTTGGCATGAGTCTTGAGTACCCCCCCCCCAATGTGACAGTACCCATCTCGGCCCCAGTTTTAAAAACAGCCCATCGGGCGATGAGTTCGAGAGTCTTCCACCTCTCTTCTCTTACTACCAAACAACTCGAGACTCTTGACGGCTCCCTTGCCATACAGACACTACACATTAATAAATATTCATGCTTTCTGTGGGATTCGAACATAAATTCAACGAACGATATAACATCCAGGAACACTAACAACACTACCGATCCGTGTGTTATAGACTTGATATTTCTAATTTCTTTATGTTTGTGAAACAATCTTATCACGCAAACGTTCATAATATCCCCCCCCCAATATATTAGATTTATAACTTTATTTTACTTAATTAATTCTAAGCATTCTTTTTATTGTCCAAAACTATTCGTATTCCGATAGAAGATCTAATATTTTTCTTGTAATTTATTCAATTATTAATAATTTTCTATACAAGTCAATGTTGCAATAATGGCCATACAGTAATAATAACAGTCGCTTAATTACCTTTTTGTTTCGTGTTGTTTAATATCGCTGATTTTATCCTAGAACGTTAGTAACAGCTTTACCAGTAATGCGTTTTAAACGTAGTTGGCTAAAAATCTTAGTTTCCTACTTTAGTTTTTAGTTTAATACAAAACTGAAAGTGTCATTTACTAAAAGACAAAACAATCCTAAGAACACTTTTTATTAGATACAATTTTATATTAACTAATAAATATGGATATATTTACTTGCATACTAATATGGTATATATATTTATTTGTGTACTAATATGGTATATATTTATTTACAGGCTAACATAGTATAGATTTATTTGCATACTGAAATTGGATATATTGTGTTTATTTGCTTATCATGTGACTTTATATTCCGGAAATAAGAAGGCTGTTTAACCACTGATAGTAGTATAATAACTAAGTTTGGGATTCAGCTGCAGAAAAGCAAGTAATGGTTGCCTGCTTCCGGACAATGTCGTCTAACCAGGTTTCTTAACTTGACTTAGGTAATAAATTAGCAGACATAATTACATACAGTGAGAAAGAAAACGAGCGTAAAGTCCGCTTATTTAATAGAAACTCTTCTACGGTCGGTAAACGAGATTAAGATAAAACACTAATGTCCACTGATCTTGTCCACATGAAATCTGTCATCACAAGCATTATGCTTCATCTCATGAATTTGATAAGTGGAAAAAGAACTTCTAAATGAACTTGCTTCCTATATCTGACATTTCAGTATAAAATAAAAATCGGAAAAGGAGAAAAAAGAACACCCCCCCCCAAAAAAAAAGAAGAGGAAACTAACAATTAGTCAGAAAATATTCATCGGCTTACATTAAGTGTCCAGTTAACAATTATATATAATTTAATTGTAGAAAAAACGATTAATTGAAAGCAACCTTGAGAAAATTACCTTTATTACCTGCAATTTTTCCAATATTTCCTTTCTTGCGTTCAATAGGATCTGCTGTAGCTTCTGGTCCTTTATGTCGGGGCCGCATATGCGATGACAGGCCTGAATGTCCGAGGACAACATGTCGGTGCATTTATCCCAGTCGACTCTACTGCGACGTCTATTATCATTGTCTTAATGGAAAACCATACCAGTACATATGCTCTCCCGGTTTGTACTTCAATAATGACACTCTGTCCTGTGACTACAGCTATAATGTGAACTGCAGTGAGTATGATTTCTCTAACTTAATTAAAGCTTGGTTTAGCTTTTCTAATAATACTAAAATTAGCTATAACGTTAGAGTTTGGTGTCCTTGTCCTTAACTTTCACTAGTGATTAAAAATTTCAAGTTTTTGTACATAAAAATATTCACTCATCATTGCATTGATAAATTGTTTTTATTACTATTTCATTGTTACTTATATATCAGCCACATATAGAAACATTTATGTTTTTGCATGAGCGTGATACATATGCATGATATATTTAGTTTACGAAAACTTAATTACTAATTTGTTTTAGTCCAAACAGGACGTTAACCCCGAAAGGGGTATTTATCAGTCTCAAAAGCATATTTTGCGCTGAATCACTATAAACGGCGTACTACTTTTCAAATTGCTCTCACCAAATATTATCGCCCTGTATTATATTTTAAAAATTAAATAATGAAGAATCTTCATAAATGTATGCATGCTTCTCGCATTGTGATAAAACAACGGTACTTCCAATTTTGAATTCAATTTTGAATAACGTAATCCACCAATAGGCATCTTGAAGCAAAAATTTGAAATTTGGAATTTGTTTTATGATCGATTTCATATTTTGTAAAACTTTAACGCACTTTTGATTAACAAACTCAAGGATTTCAAAGCGAGCCATGGCAACTCGTACAGAGAAAAACATATTTATCTCCAGCGCGTGAGTTTCTGTATCGGAAATTCTAAAGGGGATATGCTCAATTTAAAACTATTTTTCGATACTACTGTTGAACTGAATTTTATGGTTTAAGTGCGAAGAACGTGATATTTAATAAATAAATGTAACAGATAAACTGTTCAAAAAAAAAAAAAAAAAAAAAAAAAAAAAAGCCTCTTTGGACGTAATTTAAAATCTGAAAGCTTTCAGATTTCTTTATTTTTTATTTATTTTTACATCTGTGACATTTTCTATCAAGCTTTGTTTCTGAAGAAGACAGCCAATGCATTAAATTCTTTTTTTGCCTTAGCTCTCGGGCTGTATTTCTGTTGGTTATTTCATACTGATTAAAAGAATAAAAGAGAATACTTTATTTGCTTGCTTTAGAAAGAGGGGAGCCATTATTTGCCACAAGTTACACTGAAAGCTTGCATTTCAGCGTATCCGTACTGCTTTTATTTATATGCTGTTCACTTTTATTTGGTTAAACAAAAATGAATTATAATAGAAATGAAATAGGATATAGAATAGAATAGAAATGTAGAACCCCTAAAAGAGAAATGAATTTCTATTTTGGGGAAGCGATATCTTAATATAGTTTAACCCTCTCACGATGAGGGCAGATATAAAGGAATCATGTCTGTAAAAGTAAGAGGTCATTGATTTAATTTTATTGATATTTGCCTAGATTTATCTCATTGCAAATTTTTTAACATGATAATATGATTTTGTTTACTGCTGAAAAATAAAATGCCTTTATAGTTCAGCTCAATAGATTTTACTGTAATCATCAAAATACACATGTTAAAGCATGTTCGTTAATCATTTTGAAAATATTTATTATTTAAACAGCTGGTATAATTTCTACAATTAATTCTGATATTAAATGAATTTGTATCATTTTAGTAAGTAAGTTAAAAGATACTCTTCAAATTTCAGAAAGAAAGGTTTTTAGGAGAAAGAATATATGCAGATAATTTATGCCCTTTTAAGAAAGTATGTAAAAAAGATCTCATAGGATCTATTGAGAGTAAAAAAGAATAGTTAAATCATACGAAATAAGATTTGCTATGAAGCTCCTTCAAACTAAACGTGAGGTTCTTTAACCCACGAGGAAAATTAATAAGCATTCAGAAAAATTATAATGTATTTAATTAAACTAATGAACAAAACAGAACGCAAAAATCAAAAATTTTATCTCAAAAATAAAAAAAATCGCATTATATAAAAAAGACCTAAAATTTAATTTATATTTCCTAATTCCTTATTTTCCTAAAGTGAAATGCATTAGAAATGGAATATAACTTCAACAGCATTCTATAAACAAACACAATTCGAGTTATAAAATATTAGGGTTAGGAAATGATTATTGAAATTTCCTATTTACCGTCCGATAAATGAAGAAATAGAAAAAAAAACTCTCTTTTTCTCACATCCATTATCTACAACTTGAATGACATCATAGCAGAAAAGTTTTAGAAAAACCTTTTTTGAAGTTGATTAATTACACGCATACGAGACCCTGAGAAATGACGCATCAATACTGAAATTTGTATGAAAGAAAGCAACCAATTTCCTTTAAATCTAATGAGTTGTATTTGTAAAGAAGAAGGAGAGAGAAGTTTTAAAATTTTAATAAGTGAGTGATATTCTTATACCAATTTTAAAATTCCGTATTTTTAAAAACGAGTTTCCTCTAAATTATTTTAAATTGCACCTTAATGTAAAACATAATTTTAAGATGATCAAGAATAAAAAGAGCATTGAATGAAAACTAAACTGCACAGAAAATTTTCTGGCGCGGTACTATAAATAGCATAACTAAATAATGATGGGACTTATAATTAGTTTTATTTATAATAAATTTAGTTTAGGTAAAAGTTTATAATTAATATATTTAATATAAAAGTTAACTGCATTTTCAAGTATTTTAAATAGAAGATTTATTATTAATCAAAATTAAATACTTAATCCAGTAGGTACTGAGGTATAGGCTTTAAATTTAATATCCATGGAATTTACTTTGACTTTTCTCATTTGTTTCCTTTTCAAAATGCATGATCCATCTATTATATATAACCGTAAAACTATAATTGCCGTAAACTAATAATGTAATATGTTCATAAATGTTAGTTAAAAGTATTACGCATTCAAAATTAAAAAGGTTTAATTATGAACTATAGTAATAAATTATAATATATTTGTTATAAAACATTCATAATAATTACATTTTAATGCTGTGCACTAAGAGTATGGCATTCAAAATGAAATAAACAGAAATAGCAATAATTATTAAGTAAAATGTATTTTATTCCTTATTCATTTAGTCAGCAGCTATTGCAAGGATTCTGCTCTTTTTTATTTATTTTATTTTTTATTTTAATTATATTAATTACATAGATAGAAAAGTACGAAGGTGTAAATCTTTCAACTGTTTTCAGATTCTAAGATTAAAAAACTTTATTAATACTGTTGTAGTAACTGATACAAATATATCATATTCTATAAAGCGCCCTTGTAAATATACCAAATCAGTAATGATTTTCTTAAAAACATTTTTATTATATTAGATTCTATATATTCTTTATGATTCTTTCCTTAACAGCCTTTTTTTTATCAAGCATTTTAAGTATTATAATTGTATTATACAAATTTCTTATTTGATTTATCATGTTTCACTATTCAAAGAGTTCCCGCGATTTCATGGTATAGATAACTAAATATGATAACAGCATCATGACTAAACCATAATATATATAATGAGCTTTCAAAAATGTTATTTCAGTAGATATAACTTATGTTAAAGTATGCAAAATTTGTTTCGCATAACAGGACTAACATAAATTCTCTTCACGTTATTTGTGTTACTGTACTTCATGGAATGTTAAAAATCATACAGAGTTATTTTTTAAATGAAATTTTATAAATATTATGTTTCACAAATCTTTTAAATAAATACAAAACTTCATACAGATAAAATTAATATTTTACAAAAATGTATTCATTGACTGAATTTTTATATTTAAAATCTACTTTCCCTTGAGCATTCTGCGAGAAACTACAGCTTATTTTGTTATGAACCTACGCCGTATAACATACAATATTTTGCTTGCTTTTATTTCGCTTCAACATAGAGCCAGCGTTACATAGGCACAATATAAAATATTTTGATGAAAATTGCGTCTTTAAACTTACTGTTAATACCGAAAAATTTCAAAACTCTTACAATGAAAATGAGTTTACACCTTTACTTCCATGTTTTAATTGTTTCAATTATTTTAGATTTCAATTCCGTTTTTATATGCTTTCTGCTGTTCTGAATATGCTTAAAACTATATATTAGAAACAGAATTTCATTTCTCAAGTTAAGAATATTCTTGTTTTAAAATTTTTAATTTAAATTTATTAGGATCAATTTTAAGTCCAAGACCAAAGAAAAAAAAAAAAAAAAGAGGTGTTTTATAACTTTAGTTTACCGTCTGACATCCAAAAAAGTGTTTATAATGAAAAATTCCAAACATTTTTCAAATACTGAAAATATTCAATATAAAATTTCATTGAAATGGAAAAGCAATGCCATCTTTCTATGAAAATTTCCATTTAAAGCCTGAATGTTAAGTCTGCTAATTAAAAACTTCATCCTGAAAAGTTCAAGTATAGAACAAAAAATCGTGTATTTAAAATAAGCTGTTCAATGTTATAATAAATATTGTTTAAAATTAGCCATCAAATGATCAAGGAGATGAGCCTCTCACGATATTATTTCATCAAAAATTAAAGCCCGGTGGAAACTATGCATTTATTAAATAAAACAAATCGGTATGTTATGCATTTATTTTCCCTCAGTTGCTTGTGCGCAATTGTATGCAACTGGTCTTTGAGGTAAATACTATAATATATTTTATCAAGTCACAAAATTCCCATACAGTGAATAGTGGTATTTCCATCCATATTTTAAAATTACCATATTGCTCATAAAATGTTAGGAATCTGAACTTCCCTTTTCCCCTTATATTCCCAGAATCTACATAAGGTCTTTGAGGTAAATAAGCTGTTCAATGTTATAATAAATATTGTTTAAAATTAGCCATCAAATGATCAAGGAGATGAGCCTCTCACGATATTATTTCATCAAAAATTAAAGCCCGGTGGAAACTATGCATTTATTAAATAAACAAATCGTTATGTTATGCATTTTATTTTTCCTCAGTTGCTTGTGCGCAATTGTATGCAACTGGTCTTTGAGGTAAATACTATAATATATTTTATCAAGTCACAAAATTCCCATACAGTGAATAGTGGTATTTCCATCCATATTTTAAAATTACCATATTGCTCATAAAATGTTAGGAATCTGAACTTCCCTTTTCCCCTTATGTTCCCAGAATCTACATAAGGTCTTTGAGGTAAATAAGCTGTTCAATGTTATAATAAATATTGTTTAAAATTAGCCATCAAATGATCAAGGAGATGAGCCTCTCACGATATTATTTCATCAAAAATTAAAGCCCGGTGGAAACTATGCATTTATTAAATAAAACAAATCGTTATGTTATGCATTTATTTTCCCTCAGTTGCTTGTGCGCAATTGTATGCAACTGGTCTTTGAGGTAAATACTATAATATATTTTATCAAGTCACAAAATTCCCATACAGTGAATAGTGGTATTTACATCCATATTTTAAAATTACCATATTGCTCATAAAATGTTAGGAATCTGAACTTCCCTTTTCCCCTTATATTCCCAGAATCTACATAAGGTCTTTGAGGTAAATAAGCTGTTCAATGTTATAATAAATATTGTTTAAAATTAGCCATCAAATGATCAAGGAGATGAGCCTCTCACGATATTATTTCATCAAAAATTAAAGCCCGGTGGAAACTATGCATTTATTAAATAAAACAAATCGTTATGTTATGCATTTATTTTCCCTCAGTTGCTTGTGCGCAATTGTATGCAACTGGTCTTTGAGGTAAATACTATAATATATTTTATCAAGTCACAAAATTCCCATACAGTGAATAGTGGTATTTCCATCCATATTTTAAAATTACCATATTGCTCATAAAATGTTAGGAATCTGAACTTCCCTTTTCCCCTTATATTCCCAGAATCTACATAAAGGAGACAGAATTGATTGGGATTAAAAACAGAAGTGTAGAAGCTCTTCTCTGAGAGCTCATCTATTGCAAAAAGGACTTTGAATGGAAATATAGCATTGAAATCAAAACATATTTCATTTAACTTACCAGTACCTTGAATAATGCTCGTACATAAGGATATATACATTATACAAACATTAAAAACTCAATTACGATCGGTATCCTTGAAAAATAAATAACGATGTCTTAGTAGAAACGACGATGTCTTAGTAGAAAAAAAAATAAGAAAACAGCTTTCTATCAAGTTGACTGATTAAGTCTAAAAATTAAGGGTACACGGCCTTAGGCCCTCAATTCCTTGCTTTCTATGCAAGCATGAAATATTCTTGCTATGCATGCTCTTATACAATAGCATTCTTAAGTCAGTTCGAAAATTCTTTGAATTTATGTTTCATAAACCAAATACAATTATTTACAATTATGAAATTTGTAATTCAATTTAGTTCACTAAATTCAGCTGGTGTAAAATAGATTATTATTTTGGTCAGTATTTACTACGCTTTATCTGTAGTATATATCTAATCCGTTATCAGCATGTTAATTATTACATAAAGTACTTACTACTTGTTTCGTGCTAAAAAGACTGTAGTGTGAGACATCTTTCTACAGAAAGATAATTTCCAAAATTTTTTATATTTTGGCAAAATGTTTTTTTTAAGATTAAACTTTAAATAATTATTTTTAACTTTTCACTTTAAACTGTTGTGTATTGTTACGTGTAGACACATGGTAACATATTTAACAACGAAATATGTTTAGCTTTTGCTTTTAATACTTTCTTTGCAGGAATTGGCGATTTTTCTAGTTTTTAAGCCGCATTTTAAAAATTTGGCAGCCATCAAATAATGTTTTATTGTCAATTAAATGTTTCGCTAATGTATAATTCTTGAATACCTGATTCATAAATACTTTTGCTCGCAAAATAAAGAGCTAATCGACTTTCTTTTTTAGCATGATTCAAAATTCTGGTTTGGATTTTCGAATAGCAATATATTTTTGCAGACGATCTAACAGAAAATAAAGTAAAAATTGTTTTAATATAAATAAAATGTAACAGAGAAAGCGCAACAGACCTTAAAAAATAATAAGAAAAAATCTGAAATTCGCGCATTTATTTACCATATACGGAAAACTTGTTTTCACAAAATCAGAAAATCCTCTGACATTCGCACTGCAATAAAGTTGTTTCACTCTTGATAATCTATAAGGCAATAGAATTATAATATTTATATGATTGTTTAAAGTAAAGATATACTTTTTTCTTACTTAATTTGAACTAACGGGAAAACTTTAATTCTCTCTCTCAGTTCTAAAAATCTTAATAACTTCTCTGGATTGCTTCATTTCTAGATCATTCCATTTTGCATGGCCTGCGCAGCGCTGATGACTTTTAACTTAAACCAAAACATTCCTCTTTGTGTGCTTCTGTCTGGCATAACTACGCACTTTAGCTTTTGCCTCTGTGCCGCTTAGACGCTGTTTCATTCTGCTCTGTTCCTATCGCAACAGTATCAAAAATGTAAATTTTCTTGAATAGGCACGATTAGATTGCCAAGTGAACTGTGGCCACAAATATCAATTGCAAATAAAAATGGAATTACATACATATTGCATACATATTACATACATACACACACACTATATATGTATGTATGTATGTATGTAAAATATAAAAAATACGACGGCTCGTCTAATTAACTTTCCACAATTTCAGGATCTTCCCCCTAGAGCAGTATTTTCGAGAACATTCAAGCATATTACGTAACCACTCCTATAAATGAAGAATTCGCGCCATTTTGCGTCAGAGATCGCTTTCTCCCTCTACTGCTGTTAAGATCTATGCTGACGCTCTTCTCATCTGCCTCCCTTTGTTTGGACAGTATGTCACAGTAAATTTAAAGTTAATACTATTTAGTTGAAATTACTATCGCATAAGACATCTTGAATGATTTGCGATTTGCATTGAATAAAGAAATGGAGCTAAAAGTTAAGTTCTTCTGTGCCTTCAATTCTGATGTTTTCCACTTTTGCCACGACCACACCCAGACTCTGAAGTGACCAGATTGCTAAGCTTTATCATTTTCAGTGCCTGACTACCACAATATTACATATATATATCAGAAACTTAATTAATTTAGTAGAAGTAGGTTAAATCATCCTAGGAAAATTTTAAAATTGTATCAAAAGAAACCTATTAAATTTCATCATGAAGCAAAAGTTAAGCCTATCCTATTTTTGAAACAATACTAAAAGTTTCCGCAAGTATAATGCTTCATTCAAGAAATGCGTACGTAATTTCTCTCTGCTTAAGCATTTCATTTGTTTTGTTATTTAATACTTTCTCTTTAAGCTTAAGATAATCTTTGAATTAAAAATTTTATTTATATTAATTATTATTTATTACTGTATTATATTTCAGCGCTTGGAACTTCACCTGCAGCAACTCACACTACTAGTTCCATGCCTCCAACAGAGATAACGAATGCAACAATCAGGAGTACTACAGAGGAAGCTACAACTACTGAAGCTCCTGTGACAACTATACAAGAAATTACGACAAAAACAGAAATCAGCACAACTCAAAAAGTCTCAACGACTTTAGTTCCATCGACACATAAAGAAGAAACCACAGTAACTGCGGTTAGCACAACTGAAGGAAAAAAAGCAACGACTATACTTAGTACTACTGAGAAAGAAACAACTCCTGCTGATATCAGCACAGGAAAAGAACCAACAACAACTACTAGAATCCGTACAACCAAAGAAGCAAAAACTCCAGAAATGAGTACAGTATCCGAAGACAAATTAACCACTAAGAATTTTAGAACAACTCTTGAAGATACTACAACTACGAAGAATGCAACAAAAGCAACAGAAGCCACAAAACCATCTAATATAACTAATGTACCGGTTACATTAACCACAACTGAGACTTTCTCAACTGAAAAAGTCTTCACAAACAGCAGTTTTACTACCAAAAGCGTTGAAAAAACAACGGAAAAAATGGTAAGTGCAAGTACAGTCCCTCCATCTCTTGAATTCAGCTGTCCCTCGCGGTTTGGTTTGTTTCCCGACTCAAGAAGCTGTTTCAGATTTTATCATTGCTCACATTGGGTTCCTCACCACAAATGGTGCCCTTCTGGTCTTCATTTCAATCCCACATTAAGAGTCTGTGACTGGCCTTATCGAGCAGGATGTGGTAAGTCGATTTTAATTCCATTTGAAATTATCATTTGAACAGTTTTAATCTCATTTAAAGTTTATTACCGCAAATTTTAATCTTCATAAATTTTAATGAATAGTTGTTGTAATATTGTTCTGTATTTGCAAGAAAGTTTTCAGTTATTTATTTTGAGAAAATTTATGAGACCTTATTTAAAAAAAAAAAAAAAAAAAAAAAAAAAAAAAAAACACCTAATGTCGGATTCTAACGGCTTATCAGTTGCTTGTAATATAAAAGCTATTTTCATTTTAAGAAGTTATAATTATAGGATTAACGGATTTCCACCCTTCGGAATTTTTTAAGAAGTTATAATTATAGGATTGCGAATTTACTCATTCGCGATAACGTGAAAGCAACTGCGTTGGGGCACTCCGCGTGTTGTGTAAGATCTTTAACTTCACAATCACTAAAATGATTCAATTGTTTGAGTATTAACACCGTCTACAGGATTGATAAAGGTTTTATGTGGTTTACATTTCAATGATCATATCCTCAGAGATCTTTACTATAGGGGGGGGGAAGTCTAAAGTTTAATTTGAACCTTTACTTCCATAATTCACTTACTCCCTTGAGCATCAATTAAAAAGCTCGTAAAATATGGCCAAAAAGAAAGATCCTGACGCTTATTTAAGAGCTGAAGTCTCTAACGCTTCGTTCAGACGAATGTTTTATTATCATAAAGCTTTCTGTTTTAAGGCATTAAGTCCAAAGTCCATTCACACCTGTTTAACAAGGTTTAAGCCATAACTAGACAGGGAAGGAAACCCTGCACATGCGTAGCTGACTCAGCGAAACCGTTGACCGATGTTTGCTTCGTTGTGTTCCAATGACACTTGCAAACTGATGTTTACACACATTTTATTAACACAATAATAATTTTATTTTGTGTACTTTTCTTTGTTCCGTATAGCTTAATTCGTATGATATGTCATTTATGACGAATGTGACCACCATAATATAGACAAGTTATCTTAATTAATTTTCAAAGGTGTAAATTTTCATTAATAAACTTTCATTATTTCTTTTCATTACATATGCATTATTGTTTCCATTATATATACATACTTATTAGATATTTGTAAATAACTTCTGATTTGTTTTATATTTATTAACAGGTAAAATACAACCATCTACGATAATCGATATTCAGCCAACTCCAGGAATTCCTGGTGAAAAAAATATTACTCACTGTGATTGTGACTGTTGCGAAATTCCAGTACCAGGGGAATGCAATGCTTATATATTGTGCATTGACAAAACAGCTTTCAAATTAACGTGTGATAAAGATTTGTATTTCAATCCAATGACTGGTACTTGCGATTTACAGAAAAATGTGCATTGTGAAACTGATGTGAAATGCTTGAAGCCTTTTGGGAGATTTTCGTATCCAAATTCGTGCAGTCATTTTATAGAATGTCAGAATGGACTAAAAACTGTCAAAAGTTGCCCCGAAGGGCTGAAATTTGATAACGTCACACAGATGTGCAGTTGGACTGGATCATGTGGAGGTAAGAAAACTCTAATTTCTAACATTTGCACTAGATGGCAGCAGTAAGTCAGGAGCTGTTCGTTTTCGTAGAGTAGGTTTAATTAAATTCACCTGTTCTCAAATTATTTACAAGTTTTCGTTCTCAAATGAAGTAAAAGATCTGCAAATATTCATCAGAAATTTTGAAGAATGCTCCAAATCTTTCATACTGATAATTTAAGAGTTTTATTCACATAAGTTTCACATAATAATTAATCAGTCAATGTCAAACATTGCAGGCTTAAATTTTTGGATTTCCTTTCTTTAATTCTGTATTTTAATGTCCAGATTTAAAATTAATTCCTAATTATTACATTTAAAGGGTAATTTTATTTATACGAAATTTAAATATTTATAAAAATTATATTAGTATTTTTACCTAATCCCCGAACTTATAGTATTCATTCAACATATTTAAGAATTTTGATATCTTCGCATTGTCCTTGACAACTTTTACAATTCAGTCTTATTAATAATCTCACGTATAAATGATCCGACCTGATAAATTCACAACAAAGTTTTCTAAATCAATTCTTCTTTAGAGAAATTATAACTTAATACATTTAGTTGTTTACTTGTTTAGACCTTAACAGTTTTAATTTTGAAAAAAAAATTCAAATTAAAAACTAGGCAAATCACTTTTTTTTTTTGTTTTATTTATATATTTTTAATAATATAAAGTAAGCGAACTGCAAAATAAACACTGTGGCAAAAAATTCTTAATTAAAAAAATTCTTAAATTTAATTTAAGCAAAATTTATTTTATTTAAAAGTGGAAGATACTTATCTACTTATATTCGCCAATTATTACTAATTTTCTGCAAAACATATACAAATCTTTATATTAGTATTATAACAAATAAATATTTTATTTTAGTTTCAAATAAGCAAATAGTTTATTTCTGTATCGGTAGATGGCAGCATAACTGTTCGTTATTTTAGTTTTAAATTAGGTAAAGAAACGATTAAGAAAATTGCTAAATTCTCAATTAATTTATAAAACACACTTTTAAAATAATAACAAATATCTTACTTTTAATTAAAATTTTTTTAAATCCAGAAATAAGAATATAAGTATAGTGAGACTGAAGCTGGACTAGTATTGGCAGAAAATTTTCTAAGTATGTAAAAACGTAGTGTGAATTAGTGCTACGTCCAGGCACGTGTTATCAATGGATTAATTAGTTCATGTTAATTCCGTGACGTTTCTAGAGAGGAATATTTTCCAGTTAAATTTTAGTTAACATTTAATGTTTAAAAAAAAGCACACTATTTTCCATACACGTGCCGTTCAAGTATAGTGTTTTCACGCGTACTGCTCGCATTGCATTTGTTCTAGAGGTCTTTTGCGTTTTTTCCCGTTCGCTTTTGAAAAGTAAAATTAGTAAAAAGGACAAAATTTATTATTTAATGTTTTAATTTTTCACAACTTTCTTCAAAATTGCACTGTTATCTCGTAGTACTATAGCTGATAATTGATGTCGCGAAGTTTACTAAGCATTTTTTTTTTTTTTTTTCAATTTTTTGAAAAGAGGTGACATGTTTCTGTTCGACGGTGGAAAAACTGCCAGAAGAAATGATTCCTCCATTATGGGAAGAACATAAATCTTTTATTTCAACATTTTTTCCATAAATTTGATTAGTAACTGAGAAAAGATTTAATTACGCTAATTTGGTCTTTCCTCTGCAGTTAAAAAATTAACGGTTTACACAGTAAAAAATAAGTTAAAACCGTGAAAAAATATATATATATATTTCCCTTTTTTTTTATATTTTGTTTGAATAACTTTAAATAAAATATCATCAAACTATTAAATTCTTTTCAGGAAGGACTGTTTTTATGATTAACATTAGTAATATTATTACTTTAAAAAAGAGAGAAGGGTTGCCTCAGTAAGAAGTTTTGTTTTGGGCTTTCATTATTCTAAATTGGTCCTGGTTTCAACGAGTGATGTCACAATGTATGTCATCTGCACTATCCAACCATATTATATGAGATTTATACTTTCAAGTTCACAGTGTCATCTGCACATCCAACTACATTACATGGGACCTTATGCTTTCACACGCACACACACACACACACACACACAAAAAAAATAAATAAATAAATAAATAAAAACAAAGATATAAATATCACCAGGTATTTTCCGTTCCTAGAAAGAAGAAGAATTATGCCCTATCATTCCAATAAAGCATTATAAATTTTCAAAATACACCAAAACTATTCATAAATTGCGAAATAGATTTTTCTTTTGTTACTTTTTTGTTCTTTTTTAAAACAAATTTTTATTCACTTATTTATTTGCTGTGCGTCAAAGTAAAAAATATTAATTAATTTGTTATAAGAAGATAATTTTCAATGCTCCCTTCTAATTTTAATCAATTTAACGCAGCATATTTTGCATTAATATTTATCCCCTGCTTGTAATAAACATATATATTATATACATTAACTATATAAATATGTATATAAATTTAAACTTATGAAAAATTAAACTATAATTTTAGATCATAAATTGCATTTATAATAATAGAACAAAATGAGAGAATCTGCAATCCTGCTAACATTTTTATCACGGTTGACAACTCGGTTGTATTAATTTTAATGCTATGTAAAAAACCTCTAGAATTATTTATTTTTAACCCAAAAGAGCTATTAGTGTCGAAACGCGATTTTGCACTGTTTCACTTTTCATTCTGTTGCCATTGGAAAAAACGTAAGATATTATTCTTTCGTATTTAATTATATTCTTTCATATTTTATAAATATATCTATTTTTTATTAACAAAGTACACAATTTACAAGCAATAGATGCGTATCTAGAATATATCATTATTTTATTTTTTAGTTTGACTGATATAAATAAAAAGGAGTTTAATTCATGATACATATCTATATCAAAACAATAAATATTTTTATAAAATTACATAACTTATTTGTTCTCTTTTTAAACAGACAGAAGATATGTATCTTTCCTATGCTATGATATGTATCTTTCCTAATCTAAATGCATATTCATCTAATATCCTATCAAATGTTTTACTGTTTCCCATGGGCCATCTCTGTCTGTAGTCTGTATTGGTAAATCGTATTAAACTTTAAAAGAGCCCATTTGGACGATCGTTGAAATCTGAGCCATTTCAAATTCTTTTTCCTTTGTTTCCTTTGTTCATAGGTGAAAAAACTGAGAATCATTAAAAATTAACATAGCGATACTTTGTAAGCATTTTTTTATTCCATATGAATCTTAATTCCTCCACTAACGGAATTTCATTTTTTGCAAACCTAAAAATAAATGAAAGATAAATTTTCTAGTTTTTATTCAGATTTAGTTATTTGTTTTTCCACTCAATGCCTATTCATAATGTTCTTTGTCAAAAATGATAAGAAAGTATAGTTGGGAAAACTCCTTCACGTCATAAGTCAGATTTTTTGTATCAGACGTTGAAAGTCTTGCTTACCAACCCTATAATAATAATCTATAGTTATTGCATGTTTTATCGTTTAATTGTAATCATTTAGTAACTGACCCTTTTAATTTTTTATTACCTGTTCCTATTTCTAAAATTTCACCCACCAAAGAATTTCTTGTTGAATAAAAATTAGCAAATAAGCAAATCATTTATTTAAATATCCCTATATGACAGCAATGTCAACAGATATTTTATTGACAGTCAATGAAATATTGTTAAGTAGTTCTTGATGATTGTCAGTATTTTGTCACCCAATAAACATTTCATTAATTCCGGGAGATTTATATTTTATTCTTAAATGGGAGAACTCATATCATGTTTATTTTTTTAATTGCTAATTATATTCTTGCCATTCGCGTAATTTACATATATTAAAGTAACTAATAGCATCATCATTAAACGACTGTCAGAAGTTAGTAGGTTTGAAATAACGGAAAATCTAAAACGAAACGAAGTTTATTTGACTCTTCTGAAGTTTATGGGAAAGTTATTCTTCTAAGTCACAGACTTAATATATAGTCAGATTATAGCATTATCAGTAAATTATAAGATTATAGCATATAAAGTAAATTTTAATTTTATAATAAGTACTTTAGAAGAACCCTTCAACACACTTGTACCGTAGTAGGTATGAAGATTTTTTACTTCCTTGTACGAAGTAAAAAGGAAGTATTGTAATAGCGAAAAGTTTCAGACAGCATATTTCAACGAAAATATCCATTTTGACCGCTATCGAATGCAATTTAACGATGTTTTTGCGTGATATCTGTACGTAAGGACAGAATAAAATACTCTTTTCCTTCAAAAAAATTAAAAACTGCTTCAAAATTAATTCTGAAGAGAATTTTTCGTGGCGTCTGTACGAACGTATGTACGTACGTACGTGCGTGAGTACGTACGTATCTCGCATAACTCAAAAACGAGTAGCCTCAGGACTTTGAAATTTTGTATACAGGACTGCTATAACATGTAGATGTGCACCTCGTATTTTGGTTGCAATCGACCGCACCAACGTATATAAATATATTTATATATATATCCACTCTATTACCCGGCTCAGTGATCTCAGTTTCTTTACTCTTATATGTTTGTAAATTGGACATTTTTTGCTTTAAAAATGATTGAATTATGTTGTTTTTATCTTCCGGTTAAGGTTTTATGCCTTTAGTAAATCTGTGTGCAATATTTTTAGAATTATCAGCAATTTTAAAGTTGTTTAATTGCCGCTAAGCCTGTTTTTAATGGCGGTCATTGATGTTTACATTTGAAACAGGAGACTAGTGGATTTGTTGCCAATCTAGAGAAACTTAGCTTCGCAACAACAAAGATAACGCATTCATTTATTATTGCCAATTAAATCATGCTTAATTCTTTCTGGAATTTTTTCGAGGAAATAAGCGTTTGAGATTTACTTCGTAATTTTTAATATAGATATTTTTAGTTTTTATGTATTTTTGCCTTCTCGCGAAGTGAGAACTGAATTAATTCAATGAGAAATACTCA